CATATAGATAAAGCTTCGGCAAAGGCCAAACCCTTTCAGATAATCCTTGCCTAGGCATATATTACATTGTTTGATCTGGTTGTATGTATAATTTGTCAGTAGGCTGTTGGACTAACATGGTTCCCTCTGGTTTTTTAAAACTAGCTACACATTATTTATCTCTCACATTGTCTAATCCTTCTATCATGGTTTCTCCATTTAAGATGCCCCTGTTTTTCCTGTTTCTCCCCTAATAATACGCTTCTCCTATGGTCCTACCTTTCTTGAGCTCCTTCTTTTCCTTTATCCCCTAGGTTCCTTGTATAACCTTGCCTTGCCCCTCCCCTTAAAATAACCCCATTTTTATCCATATCTCCCTTATTAACACCTGTTTCCTACTGTTCTTCTACTTCAGAGTCTTTCTTTTCCTTTACCTCCCTGGTTCATTTTCATAATCTGGATTCCTGTAGTTATGTCTGGATACATACTCACTTATCAGGACTTGGTGCTAGGATCCACATATGAGGGAGAACATATGTCAATATTTTTCCGAGTCTGTGTTACTTCACTTAGTATAACAGTTTCTAGTTCCATCCATTTACCTGCAAATTTCATGATTTCATCTTTCTTTACTGCTGAGTAAAATTCTATCGTATAAATGAACCACATTTTCATTATCCACTCATCAGTTGAGAGACGCTTCAGTTGCTTCCATCTCTTAGCTATTGTGAAAAGAGCAGCAGCTAATATGGATGTACAAGTGTCTCTGCAATAGTATGAGTTCTTTGGGTATATGCCAAGCAGTGGTATAGCTGGGTCAAATGGTAGGTTCATTTGTAGTTTTTTTAAGAACTCTCCATACTGCTTTCCGTAGGGGTTGAACAAGTTTCCAGTCCCACCAGCAGTGGATGAACGTTCCCCTTTCCCCACATCCTCTCCAACATTTTGTATCATTTTTTCTGTTGATCTTAGCCAGTCTGACTGGGGCAAGATGAAATCTTAAAGTGGTTTTAATTTGCATTTCCCTAATTACTAATGATGTTGAACACCTTTTAAGATGCTTCTTAGCCATTTTATTTCTTCTTTTGAGAACTCTCTGTTCAGTTCCTTAGCCCATCTTTTAATTAGGTTACTTCCTTTCTTGATTTTTTGTTGTTTGAGTTCATTATATATTCTGGATGTTAAACCTCTGTCAGATGTGTTGCTAGTGAAGATTTTCTCCCATTCTGTGGGTTTTCTCTTCACTTCCTCGATTTCTTTTTTTGGTGTACGAAAGCTTTTGAGTTTAATGAGGTCCCGTTTGTTCATTCTTGACCTTGTTTCCTGGGCAGTTGGTGTCCAATTTAAAAAATCCGTTCCTACACCTATACCTTGTATGTTCTTGCCAATCTTTTCTTCTTACAGTTTCAGGGTTTCAGGCTTCATATTGAGGTCTTTGATCCATTTGGAGTTGACTTTTGTGCAAGGGAAAGATAAGGGTTTAGTTTCATTCCTCTACAGGTAGAGATCCAGTTTTGCCAGCACCATTTGCTGAACATGCTGTCTTTCCTCCAGTGAATATTCTTGGCCCCTTTGTCAAATATCAGGTGGCTGAAAGTGCATGTACTTATACTTGGGTCTTCAATTTTGTTCCATTGCTCTATGGGTCTACTTTTGTGCCAGTACCATGCTGTTTTATGACTATAGCTCTGTAATACAGTTTAATATCTGGTATAGTAATCCCCCCAGCATTGCTCTTAGTACTCAGCATTGCTTAGGCTATCTGAGGTCTTTTGTGCTTCCATATGAATCTTAGGATGGTTTCTTCCAATTCTGTGAAAAATATCATGGGGATTTTGATTGGCATTGCATTGAATCTGTAAATGGCTTTTGGTAGGATGATCATTTTCACAGTATTAATTCTTCCAATCCATGAGCATGTCAGGTCCTTCCATCTTCTGATGTCTTCCTCAATCTTTCTTTAAAGATTTCAGATTTTCATTGTAGAGGACTTTAATGTCTTTAGTCAGGTTTATTCCGAGATATTTTTTTTCCAGCTATTGTGAAGGGGAGTGTTTCCATATACTCTTTCTCTGACTGCTTGTTATTGGTATATAGAAAGGCTACAGACTTTTGTAGGTTAATTTTGTAATCTGCCACTTTACTGAACGTGTTAATCATTTCTAGGAGTTTTCTGTTTGAATTTTAGGCGTCTCTTAGATATATCATCTGCAAAAAGGGATAATTTGATCTCTTTTTTTCCAATTATTACTCCTTTAATTTTTTTCTCTTGTCTTATTACTCTTGTAAGTTTCAAGTGCTGTGTTAAAGAGGAGTGAGGATATTGGACAACCTTGTCTGGTTCTTGATTTCAACGGGAATGCTTCCAATTTTTCTCCATTTAGAATGAATGACGTTGGCTGTGGGTTTGTTATATATGGCTTTAATTATGTTGAAGTGTGTTCCCTCCAGTCCAATTCCCTCTAGGACTTTGAACATAAAGGCATGTTGAACTTTGTCAAAGGCCTTCTCCCCATCTGTTGAGAGGATCATATGGTTCTTATCTTTGAGCCCACTTATATGATTTATGACATTTATTGACTTATGTATATTGAACCATCCCTGCATCTCTGGGATAAAGCCAACTTGATCATGGTGGATGATCTTTTTGATTTGTTTCTGTATGTGGTTTGCAAGTATTTTGTTGAGAATTTTTGCATCTATGTTCATTAAGGATATGGGTCTATAGTTTTCTTTTTTGGTTGTATCTTTACTGGCTTTGGTACTAGAGTGATGCTGGTTTCATAGAAGGGATTTGGATGTTCTCCCTCCATTTCTATATTTTTGAATAAATTGAGTAGAATTGGATGTAGACCCTTTTTAAATGTCTGGTAGAATTCTGCTGTAAATTCATCTGGCCCTGGGTTATTTTTAGTCAAGAGGTTTTGTATTACTGTTTCAATTTCCTTATGTGTTATAGGTCTGCTTAAGCTGTTACTCTCTTCTTGGTTTAGTTTTTTTGGTTCTCATGCTTTTAGGTACTTCTCCATTTCTTTTAGGTTTTCAAATTTAGTAGCATATAGGTTTTTAAAGTATTCCCTTATAATGTTCTGGATCTCTTTGGAGTCTGTTGTGATATTTCCCCTTTCATCTCTGATTTTGTTGATTTGGGAAGTACTCTTTCTTTCTTTTGGTTAACTGGGCCAGTGATCTATCAATCTTGTTTATCTTCTCAAAGAACCAGCTCTTGGGTTCGTTGATTCTTTGTATTGTATTCTTTGTTTTATTTCATTAATTTCTGCTCTGCCTTTTCTTATTTCTTCTTGTCTGCTGGGTTTGGGCTTCTTTGCTGTTGCTTTTCAAGTGTCTTGAGTTGCAATGTTAAGTCATTTATTTGTGTTCTTTCCAATTTTTTAATGTAGGCACTTAGAGCCATAAACTTCCCTCTAAGGACAGCTTTCAATGTGTCCCAGAGGTTTTGTTGTGTTGTATTGTCCTTTTCATTTAGTTCCAGGAATATTTTTATTTCTTTCTTAATTTCTCTTTTGACCTATCATTCAGGAGTGTGTTGTTTAATCTCCATGTGTTCATGTGGTTACTGGGGTTTCTTCCAGTGTTGATTTTAAGTTTTATTGCATTGTGGTGTGATAGAATGCATGGAATTATTTTAATCTTTTTGTGTTTGTTGAGGTTTGTTTTGTGTTCAAGTACATGATCAATTTGGGGGAAGGTTCCATGGGGCACTGAATAGAAAGTATATTCTTTGGTGCCTGGGTGGAATATTTGGTAGATGTCTGTTAGGTCCATTTGATATATGGTATTGTTTAATTCAGATGTCTCTCTCTTAATTCTCTGACCATTTGACCTATCTAATGGTGACAATGGAGTATTGAAGTCCCCTACTATTAATGAGTTGGGATTAATCTGGGTCTTAAAGTCCTGTAGTACTGTTTTAATGAAGTTGGGTGCACCAGAGTTTGTTGAATATATGTTCATGATTGTAATATCTTCTTAGTTTATTGTTCCTTTGATCAGAATGAAGTGGCTGGCTTTATCTTTTCTGATTAATTTTAGTTTAAAGTCAATTTTATCAGATATTAGAATTGCAATGCCTGCTTTTTTCTTAGCACCATTCTCTTGCTATATTTTTTTCCATCCTTTCACCTTAAGGTAATGCCTGTCCTTGAAAGTGAGATGAGTTTCTTGTAGACAGCAAAAAGATGGCTTTTGTTTCTTAATCCATTCAACTAGTCTGTACCTTTTGACTGGGGAGTTCAGCCCATTCATAATTAAAGTTCTTAATGAAAGATGTGTATTGAATCCTGTCATTTTACTTCCCTTCACATTCTTGATATAGCTGTGCATTTCTGCAGTGATACCTACATTGAGTTTCTTTCCGTCACCCCTTGTGTATAGTCGTTCCTTTCTTCAGCTCTTTGCATTGCTTCAAGAACTCTCTGAAGGGCTGGTTTTGTGGACATGAATTCTTTTAGCCTATTTATGTCATGGAAGATTTTTCTTTCCTTTTCAACTATGATAGAAATTTTCATTGGCTAAAGTAGTCTGGGTTGGCATCTGTGGTCATTTATAACTGGAAATACTTTAGTCCAGGCTCTTCTGGCTTTCATAGTTTGCACTGAAAAGTCAGCTGTAATCCTGATGGGTTTTCCTTTATATGTGACTGTTGTTTTTCTTTTTCAGCTTTCAGTATTGTCTCTTTGCTCTGAATGTTTAGTGTTTTTACTATGATGTGCCATGGAGAGTTTCTGTTCTGGTCCTGTCTATTTGGTGTTCTATATGCTTCTTGTATTTGTATGGGGATGTCTTTCTTTAATTTGGGGGAATTTTCTTCTATAGTCCTCTTGAAGATCTGTTCCATACCATTATCTTGAGATCCTTCTCCTTTCTGTATGCCTATGATTCATAAGTTTGTTTTTTTATGGTGTCACACAATTCTTGCGTATTCCATTCTTGTGTTTTCTTAATTTCTTCATAATCTTTGCTTGAGTGGTCTAATTCATCCACTTTATCTTCCAGTCTTGATATTCTGCTTTCCATTTCATTCATCCTATTGGTGAGGCTTTCTTCTGTTGTTTTTAACTGGCTTACTGAGTGTTTCACTTCCTTCTTCATTTCAGCCTGCGTATTTGTCAATATTTCTCTTTTCTGAATTCATTCAGAAGTTTATCCCTATCTTCCTTCAGTTCTTTGATTTCTTTGTGTTCTTTAAATTCATGTTTACAATTGTTCTTTTGAGTTCCATGTCCTGTGTTATCTCTAGGGAGTTCTCATTGTACTCCTCTCAAAGACTATTGGTATTTGGTGGGGATACGTTATTTTGGTTTTTCATGTTATTATTTTTTTCTCTGTGACTTTGACATGTGAATTTCTTTTGCAGTTTCTGATTCTTGTATGAAACTCAAGCCTTCCTTTGTTGTGTTTAGATCTGCTTTTTTTGTAAATTTTATGTGCCTTTGTGGTCTACTTGTTGGGCATGAAAAGCTGATTGCTCTAGGCTTCAGATTCTTTCTTTTGATTTTATATTGGAGTTGCCTAATTGCTTTTGTCTTCAGGAGTCCCCTCAGAGGCCCAAGTGAGATGAGGCTTAGGCTTTCTCCTAAGGTCTGGGTCCCTCCAGGAAAGATGCTGCCCTCAGGAATATTGGGGCTGAGCTGGCCTGTAAGTAAGGCCCAGGAAAGATGCTGGTCTTGGGAAGCTGGTTTTTATGCCACCCAGGGATGCTAAGGGACGTGGAGATGGGAAGATGCCCGGAGGGCTCCTGGGGACTACTGGGAGGAACTGGGTTGACTGGATGCAAAGGATCAGGAAGCAGTGGTGGCTCTGGACAGAGAGGTTAGCCCCAGTGTCTGGGGTGTCATGACAAGAAATGGGCCTGTACCCAGGCTAGGAGGAGAGATGTGGTGGGGGGAGCTGGGAGGGTGAAAGAGGCTGGGGGAGTCAAGGTACAGTGGCACACTGGACTTACCCAGGGAAGGTGTTGGCACCAGGACACTTGAGGCTGTGAAGCCCTGGAAGCAAAGGGCAACATCTATTTGGGAAAAATATTTAGTTCCTGTGTCCCTCAGATTCCTTATATAAAATAGGGATAAGTGCCTACTTCATTATCCTTAGGTTATGATTTTCCTTTATTAAAATGTCTTTTTGTTAGAAGAGTACAAGTGTCTGTTTTCTGCCTTTATGCAAAGAACTAGTAATTACTAAGTGGAAAAATGAAATACATTTAAGAAAGTGTTTGGGGACTGGCAAGATGGTTCAGTGGGTAAAAATGCTTACTTTGAGAGTCTGATGACCTGAGTTCAATGTCTGGAGCCTGTGTACAGGTGGAAGGAGAGAACTGAGTCCACAAAGTTGTCCTCTAGCCTTCCTTCATGTTCTGTTGTGCACACAAATAATAATTACAATAAAAATATATTTAATTTTTAAAGACTTTTGAGCATTCTAGAAATAATTCTTCAACTTTCAGGAAAAGTAATGCTTATGAATGTAATGTTATAAGAAAAACACTTATTAAATATGTGGTCAATAATAATACATATGAAAAGACTGGGGGACACAGCTCAATGAGGAGGTGCCTGTCTTATATGCACAAGGAGTTTGATTTCCAGCACTACAAAACCAGTTAATTATTTAATTTAAAACTTCCAAGCAAATACATAATTGAATGATGTTGGTACATTAAGCATATTTGACTAGTCCCAAGATTTACCTGATGGTTATTCCTTGTAAATCAGAAGTTTGTTTACTTTATTATAATAGTTGAGTTGTTCAATAACTCAAAATGGAAGTCAGCCTGAGAAATAAGACATATCTTTTCTTATTTAATATTGCAACTAATCATAATTTTCACATTTTATAGTCAAACATCTCAGAAGATTATATGTAAATGCTTGTTTCCTATTTCTATTTAAGAACCTGTTCTTTGATTCTTTTTAGAGAAAATAATTTATGAATTGACTATCCAGCAAGATCATGATTCTCAAAACACTTCAAAGCTTTCCCACTACCCTTTTAATCTTGGAAACTACTAAAAATATCCATTACTGCTCATTGCTAAGTTTTTATTCCTCCAAATTTTATTTTGCCTAATTTCATCCAAAAAAAGACAGCAAGATATTACTTAGTAGACATCTATGAATTTCCTCCAGATGCTCTGATATGTGCTAGGTTAGTGGGAAGCTGGCTGCATACTATTCCTCAAAACCAAAATGTGATGCTTTGTGCTTTCTCTCAGCAGATCACAGAAAACCTCATCTATGAGAAGCCAGAGGACCCCCTCATCTTCATGCTGTCCCAGGTATGGAACAGAAGAGAGTGAACAACCCTTCTCTTCTTATTGTTGGAAAACATAGCACACACACAGCAAGCTGTGTGAAATGAAACACATGTGCCTTGAGTTCTCATGAAGGAAAGGTATCTGCTGCCACCATTCAAGGTTTTTACTGAAAAATAGAACATTGCCAACATCGCAGAAGCCCCTCTCCTTATCACTTCCCACAAAAGAAGTATTATTCTGGCCTTGATAAGAATAACTTCCTTGGTAAGAATTGGCTAGGCAGTTAGGGCTAAAAAGACCCTAAAGAAAAGTAGCCAGTTTCTTGGCTAAAAGTCAAAAGGTCCTTGGGTCTCTTAACAATATACTCTGTTCCAAAGCCAAAAATGACAAAAGTATTTGGGAGCTCTTATCTAATCCTTACAAGATTTTAGGGTTACCTCTTCAGAGGGGGGAATGTTAGAGTAGCAAAAAGCCTTATGAAAGAAAGAAAGAAAGAAAGAAAGAAAGAAAGAAAGAAAGAAAGAAAGAAAGGAAGGAAGGAAGGAAGGAAAGACGAAGAAAGAGTACATGAAGTTATCCGACAAAAGTGATGGGGAGATATGGGAGGAGTTGGAGGGGAGGGAATGGGCATGGATTTGATCAAAACACCTTACATGCATGTATGAAATTCTCAATAAAGTTTTTTTTAAGTTAAAAAATAACTTCCTCACTTTTCTTAAACATTTTACCTCTAAATATGAATCATGAAACACTTTTATTTAGGCTTGTGAGTTCTTTGAACTGTATATAAAAGGGAAACGTATATGGTCAGTATTCACTTGTATCTTGTTTCTTTTGCCCAAAATTATGTCTGTAAGATGGATCCATCTGTTGTATGGCTATCCTTCATCCATTTTCACAGCTGTATGGTATTCACTGTGTATAATACTGTGACATCCATTTATTTTTCATGGATATGCAAGTTGCCTCCAATCTGGAGCTATTATAAAAATTTTTGCTGTGAGCCTTGCTGTACATGTCTTTCAGCGGCACATTTCCCTTGGCTACATATTTTAATCATGAGATTGTGGTGCATATGTTTGCTTAGTTCTAAATTGATTGTTTCAAGTAATTTCCCAGAGTGTCCTGAGCTGCATTCCCACCACCAGTAAGAGTCCTTCTAGTTCCACAGGTTTTCCAGTGCTTACTGTTGTCAGTGCTTAGCACATTCGCCAGGCTGAGAGCAGGAATTCAATGGTCATTTTGCTTTTTTTCTAGCCAGTAGGCAGCTACATGTATTTTCATTTGTTTATAGGCCATTTGGAATTCCTTATTTTTCTATGGCATTGCTTTACTTTTGGATTTTTAGTGATAGTCTTCATATATTCTATGTGAGTTCTTTACAGATTACATTTATTTCGAGTATCTTTCCACTTTGTAGTACCTTCAAACTCTTAAATCTATCTTTTAATGGGCAGAAATTCTTAATATAATCAAATGTAACCATCTTTTCATGATTATTACTTTCAATGTCTTATTAGAAGTCTTGCCTACACTCTTGACTATGATTTCCTGTATTTGTGTGTGTGTGTGTGTGTGTGTGTGTGTGTGTGTGTGTGTGTTTAATGGAGCAGGATTAGGTTTGTTTGTTACCTTTCACATTTATGTCCACAATCTATCTGGAATTGATTTTGTATAGAACATGAAGTGGGGGCCAAGCTTCAGATTTTTCATTTGTCTAGCTTGTTAAGCACCTTTTAGTAAAAGTATAACTCATCCATGCTCTGTATTTGACACATTTAGTGTATTTGTTTATTCTTGTTTCAAACTAAGTCTTAATTATTATACACTGGGATAAACCATGATCTAGTAGAGAAAGTCTGCCTATTTTATTCTTTAAGCGTGTCTTCGATATTCTTGAACCTCATGTTTGCAAATAAGTTTTAGGAATCATTTGTGAAGTTACACAAACTTGTACATCCACATACAAAAACATACATCTGGGATTTTTATTGGGATTACTTTCAGTCTCAATTGAGTATTTATTGGGATTCTGTTCATCAGTTTGGGGGAAAGTGACAGCTTTAAAATGAGTGTTTCCAATGCTTGATGCTTTCCATTCATTTAGGCCTCCTTTTTAAAAAATTTCTTTTAATTTATGTGTATGAGTATATTGTCTGCATTTGTGTAAGTACACCCATGTCATGCAATACCTATGGAGGTCAGAAGAGAACATCGGATTCCCCTGGAATTAGAGTTATAGATGGTTGTTAGCCACCATGTGAGTGCTGATACTCGAACCCAGGTCCTCTGTAAGAGCAGCCAGGACTCTTAACTACTGAGTCATCTCTCCAGTCCTATTTAGGCCTTCTTTAGGTTCTCTTGGTACATTTACCATTTGCATATGTATTACATGTATTTTAATAGCTTTATTTGTATTTAATATTTTGATGCTACTGTAAACAGAAACTTCTAAAATTTCAAGCTCTAATTAGCTGGTATGTAGAAAAATAATTAATTTTTTGCTAATCTTATATCCATCAATCTTACTGAACTCAATGTGGTTCTGATAATGTATTTGCTGAATCTGGGTATTTCTACATAGACAGCCACATCATTTACAAGTAGTAACCGTTTTATTTTGGCCTTTCCAATCCTTATCCTGGGACTCCCTTGTTTTGTCATATATATTGTGCATCTTTTCTTTGACACTTCAGATCTACCTTCCTCTCTTCTCTACCCTAAAGAGACTGACCTATAGGCACTAAATAGGGAACTCTTGTGACCCTGATTATCCATTGGATTAAACCAATGGCAATCCCTGGAGGAAGATTAGGAGGAGGAGGGAAGGTATGCTTAGGTTTATTCCTGTTGCCTTCTTTATGAAATCACCTTGATCTATCTGTCTTAAATTATCTCAGGGGTCTTATTTTACAGGCTATTTTCTTTGCTCTTTTAATAATGTTTCCTGCACTTCCTCAACACACACACACACACACACACACACCCTTCAGTCCTAAAGTTAATTCAACTATTTCTAACTTTAGACTATTGCATTGTCCCATGTGACTCCCCATACCCCACACTTGTTTCTTTTTAAGTAGCCCCTTTATGAATCACTCCCATGGAGTTCTGTTTTGATACACTATCTGGTTTTTGTTGGGACTCCATTAGGAGTGCACTAATTAGAGCTCTCTAGAATAATTAATGCTGAACAGAGTATCTATTTTGATTCACCTTACTTGAGCTCTAAAAATATTTTTCACTACTTCACCACTAAATATACTGTTTGTTGTTTATAGCTATCATTGCTCATGTAAATTCCCTTCTCATCTATTATCTGATATTTTTAAATTAATTTATCAAATTATTTTTCTTTACCTTTGGAGATGATTGTATGATTTTTTTGCCCACTTTTGTTAGAGATGAAATTTTTTTCAGTTTTAGAATTTTTCAAGTATACACGCAGAAAATTGCACAGATCATAACTATATATAACCTGAGTAATGTTAAATGATTAGATTAGATCCACGAAACAGCCAACCAAGTTGTTAGCAGAGGATGGGTCTCAGGGGTCTTTTGTGACTAGGTGCCCAGCTTCTTTAAGCCTCAGAGAACTGAGCAAGACACAGAAAAGCAGGAGCAAAGACAGATTTATTAAAAGTGAAAGTGAAAGCAAAAATACACTCCACAGAGCAGGAGTAGGCGGGAGCAAATGTCTCTCAAGAGCTACTTATTCCCAAGACCAGGAGCTTTTAATTATGAAACAGAAGGGAGAGATTCTCTGAATGAGTGGATTTTTCTTTGACCTGACTTAAGTGATTGACATCTCTAGGTTATATAACATTATGCTTACTGAGCATGTGCCATCCCATGATCCTCTCTGTTATGATCATGTGCATGAAATGCAGTCCATAAGCAGTAGCCCTTAAGTTCTTTGTGACATCCCAAAGGTTATCTAGGGTCAATCATTTTCTTTGGCGCGAGCGCGCGCGTGTGTGTGTGTGTGTGTGTGTGTGTGTGTGTGTGTGTGTGTGTGTCTAGGGGAGATCCCCTCCTGGGTTTTGCTTTTCAAATACGGTCATATTTTTCCTGTTTGTTGGAGGGTTATACAATCCAAGGGAAGATCCAGAGAAGTCCAAGGGATGGTATGGGGCCATCCAAGGGCCAGTCTCTTCAGTTTCTAGGCCCTGGAATTAACCTCCTAATGATTCATACTCACATGTATCTGGCCCTGCTACCCTAACTCAAAGTCAAGAAATAGCAGGTTACCCTGAAACGGGGAGAAAGAGGGTCCCCTAGAGGGTTCTTAGTCTCATTCATAAGCGAATTTAAGAATGGACCCAAACGGAAGTTTTTACAATTTTATTAGAATCTTAAAGACGAGCTGGTAATCTTGGCAGCTGCCTTGAGGAGGTGAATAGTATAGTGGGAAAAAGGAAAGAAAGCCATGGAGCCATGCGTGTTTAGAGTCTGAATGGAGGTCAGACATGTGGCTGACTCACAGCCACATGGCTGGGAGAAGGAAGCTTTAGAGAAAAGGTGAAGAAATACAAGATGCTAGGGGCAGCCCAAAGCCTTAAAGAAAGCATGTTTAGTAAGAAAGGCATGAAGAAGAAAAGAAGAAATTATGCTTTCCTGAAGAGTTCAAGAAAGCGCACAGACTTACAGAGACCTACATGGCTGTGGCTAGTCTGGAAGCTCTGCAGAGGTCTGAGCTAGTTCCAGGCAGGAAATATTCACTACCTATTAACACACCAGGTATTCCACCCATATAGTTAGCATAACTTAAGGTGACCCTACCTTCCTGGGAGTGGTTCTATCACCAGGTAATTGACCAGTGAGACTAGAAAAGTAGGTCCTCCAACAGATAGACTAGACAATTTTATAGTCAGGACCAGTTCAATTTATGGGGCTTACTGATATTCTAACAACCCCTTCCTCAGAGCCCCACTCTGTACCCCTCTCCTCCACAAAATATCAGTGATAGTGTCTGCTACATTCATTTTCCTTCAACATTTTTAGTATAAATGAAATTTAAT